AATCACAATTGGCTGTGTTTTCAAAGGAAAAACTCGTATTAGAATTCACGCTTTTTTTTTTCATCTATTATTTCGTAGCTTCTTTTTTTTCATCTATATTTCTATTCAAATTCACCTTCTTTTTTTTCAATTATTATTTCGTATTAGAATTCACGCTTCTTTTTTTTCATCTATTATTTCGAGCTTCTCTATTGGTTGTTCCCATCAACCATTCAAATTTATCTCTCGTTTTTTTTACTGTATTTCATTCTACAAATCACAATTGGCTGTGTTTTCAAAAGAAAAACTCGTATTAGAATTCACGCTCTTTTTTTTTCATCTATTATTTCGTATTAGAATTCACGCTTCTTTTTTTTCATCTATTATTTCGTATTAGAATTCACGCTTCTTTTTTTTCATCTATTATTTCGAGCTTCTCTAGGTTATTCCCATCAAACATTCAAATTTACTCTTTCGTTTTTTACTGTATTTCATTCTACAAATCACAATTGGCGGTGTTTTTAAAAGAAAAACTCGTATTAGAATTCACGCTCTTTTTTTTCCATCTATTATTTCGAGCTTCTCTATTCGTTGTTCCCATCAACCATTCAAATTTACTCTCTTTTTTTGTACTTTATTTCATTCTACAAATCACAATTGGCTGTGTGTTTCGTTCACGTTTTCTTCGTCGATATCTTTAAGACTTCTTTGTCTCAATATTATGTAACACGTGACACATGACAGGTTTAAATTTGACATTTGTTCTTGACAACTGTCATTGATTGTGTCATTATTTTTGTCGTTTATTAATAGCTCGTATTTATTAGTTTGCGTCTATTTGTACTAGAGTATATAAATACACGTTTAAAAGGGAAGGCGTTAATTGGCGTTTGGATGAATGGTGTTTTTCGCGCCGCACCATTGTCCACCCGTTTAACGTTCGGCCAATTGTCAGAAGAACTCGCTCGAGCGCGTCATTCAATTGTTCGGTTGTCGACAATGCCCTGTTTACTGCACGCTTTTCGAGGTGTTGAAATTAGCGATCCCGATTTAACAAATTTAAAACTTTCATAATTTGCAAACAGTTTTATATATATTTGTTATTTTTCTATCTAATCTTATATGTACATTGTGTTACATAAATATAATTTCTTATTCAATGCCCTTAGATTCGAGCGTCCCCCAATTGGTGGAACGAAGACGCCATATTGGTTGCGCCCATATTGTGTTCCAATACGTTTATTAATTCAATTATATTGTTTGTAATTTGTTTAGGAATCGGTTCAGACCTGGTGCTGCTCGCAAAATCCGAAGACGCGCCATCCTCAAGAACGGCGACTGCAACATCCTGCAGTCGCGCATCTCGAAGCATCGCCTGAGATTCCTCCAAGACATCTTCACGACTCTCGTGGATACGCAATGGCGTTGGACGTTGATCGCGTTCGCCCTGAGTTTCCTACTCTCGTGGTTGGGTTTCGCGGTCATCTGGTGGCTGATAATGTTCACGCACGGCGATCTGGAGGCTGACCATCTGCCCGACGAGCAGGAGAAGTCCGGTTGGGAACCGTGCGTCTCGGCCATCCACGATTTCACCTCGTGCTTCCTCTTCAGCATAGAAACGCAGCACACGATCGGTTACGGTGTTCGCACCACTTCTGAGGAATGCCCGGAGGCCATCTTCGTCATGTGCATGCAGAGTATCGTAGGTGAGATAGAGATAAAATGATTGTGTCTATTTTTTATTTCGTATTGTAATCTTAAATTTGCAGGTGTGATGATACAGGCTTTCATGGTGGGCATCGTCTTCGCGAAGATGACGAGACCGAAGCACCGCACGCAGACGTTGCTGTTCTCGAGGAACGCGGTCATCTGCCAAAGAGATGGTTTCCTCAGCCTGATGTTCAGGGTCGGCGACATGAGGAAGTCGCACATCATCGGAGCGAGTATAAGGGCTCAGCTGATAAGGGCGCGCACCACTAAAGAGGGCGAAGTCATGGGTCAATATCAGACGGAGTTGGCGGTGAGCGCGGACGGATGCGACGGTGATCTGTTCTTCATCTGGCCGATGACCATCGTCCATAAGATCGACGAGGAATCACCGCTGTACACGCTCTCCGCTTCAGACATGCTGATGGACAGATTCGAAATCGTCGTCATCTTGGAGGGGACGATCGAAAGCACCGGACAGACGACTCAGGCGAGATCGAGTTACGTCGCTGCAGAAGTCCTTTGGGGTCACCGCTTCGAACCGGTCGTCAGCTACAACAAGGAGAGGCAAGGGTACGAAGTGAAATATTCGAAATTCGATAACACCATTCAGGTGGATACACCTCTCTGCTCCGGCTCAGAACTCGCCGAATTCTACCGCCTCCAAGATCCGATCGGTGAGTAAATATCAAGAACGTATGCATTTGTTTTGTTTCGTTTTGTTTTATGTTCGTCGTGTTTTCTATGTTCTATGTTCAGATCAAGCAGAGCGCATTTCCTACCACCGTATGAACAGCAACATGCCGACCAACGATTCCGCTTGATACCCACGCACGCAACCAAACATACAATTAATTACATTTGAACCAATCATCGTGAGAATCTCAGCGAACAAACTTCATATATTATTTATAGCTTATGTAAAACATCGTTATTACTATTATATAAACAACAACAACATTTATATATTTATAACATCTTCCTCGTCCTCGTCTTTTCTTTTAGGCATGGTCTACCTTTACTCCAACGAGATGACCATGCTATTAAACGGTATGACGACATCACCGACAAATTCATTTGGTCCAAGGAAACCCAGCTCCGTTCAAATAGACGAATTAGATGACACCAACAGTTAACACTTCACCCACATCCTTGATGCATCTCCAGTTGCATAACAACAACAAATTGAATTAAATTAATAAACTACACGTTTACTTATTTCACCATACCTTTAATCATTAAAATCAGTTTCATCCTTCTAAAACAATCTAGAAGTTTTATATTTGAAAATCACATTCCTAATTTGTTGTGACGATTACTTGCAGAATTTGCGATTCGCGTGCAACGTGTTGCATAATTGGGAATTAGAAATGGGGGGAAGACAAAGAGGTCGTGGATATAATATATTTATATTTTAAATAGATTTTTTTTGTTGTTGTTTTTCTTTAAATATTAGTTTATAGACTTGGATCAAATAGTTTCCGTCTGTCGTCATCATCATCACTGGATAACAAAGAAAAAAAAAGAAATAATAATAAAGGATAACATCCTGGGGTGCCGTGTTTCGCGCACTGCTGCCACCGCCGCCTTGACTGCCACCAGTAACGTGTGATTGGCGGAGGCGAGGGGGGCTAAGAAGTAATTGTATTGATGAGTTATTTTTGTTGTTGTTGTTGTTTGTTGTTGTTGATAACAAGGTTTCGTATAAATGTATGCGTGTGTGTCGATTTGATTTATGTTGTGTTTCTAGTCTAATTCGGTGTTTTCGATTGGTTTTCGGTTGCCGCTGCTGCTTGTGCTGCTGCTGGAGGCGGACGGTCTGTGAGTGCGCGCGGACGAAGATTCACTCTCATCGCTTTCGTCGTCGTCGTCACCTAGGCCACCCAAGAAGCTCTGCAGGAAGTTGCCGAAAAGACCACCGCCGCCGGCACCAGAGGGAGTTGGCGGCGGCTGCACTCCGAAGAAGATCTGTCCGATCTTGTCCAGGTATTGGACGTAGCAGGGATCGCGACGTATGGACGGCTCGTACTGTTCGCAGAGCACCGTGAACGTGGCCAACTTCTGGGACTCTATCGCCCTCAGCAGGAACCATATGAAGTTCAACAGCGGCAGCAGATACGGTGGACCGTTCTTCTTGATGCTCGGATGATGCTGCGTGTAACTGGTGAACGTCTGATTGGCGGTCGATTTGTTCCGCAGACAGAGGAACTGCAGCACGGCCTGCGCGATGAAGAGGTCGACTTCGGCGGTGTAACCGTGACTGGATTGGAGTTCGATCAGGAGACGGGCGCATCCTTGGCCGTCACGCGAATGCAGGTAATGGTAGCGCGCCTGCGAGTAGTTCTTTTCGTTCCAGAAGACCTGCGCCAAATTCTGGTGCAGCATCGGATGACCGTGGATGCCGTCCGCCGAGGACCAACGGATCGCCTTCGCCAGGAACGAGTCGCGTTCGGGTATGCTCGAGCTGATCTTCGCGAAGATCTTGCTCAGCTGTTGCGACCATTCAGCGTACGCGCGACACTCGGATTTTTCGAGAACGTCGAGCAGCAGGATTCCCAAGTCGGCGCCGCTCCCTTGCTACAAAACAAAACAAAAAAAACAAACCAATCACAACCATCACCATCAATTGTCTCTGCACACTCACTTGATCGTTTTCCAGGAAGAGGAGAGCCCCTTTGCTCAGCAGATCCATCAATTCATCATACTTTTTCTGTGTCAAATACCTAAAAAACACACACACAATTAAAATCCAATTCAACATTGGCTATTGCCAATTTATTAGGTTATGTACCTAAAATACAGTGTCCTGTACATCTGATGGGCCTCATAGTAGTTGCCCTCCTTGATGGAGTTCTCCAGCTTCTCCAGAACACGCGACACCCCTCTCGCTGTTGTCGTCGTCGTCGTCGTCTGACTGGCCATGACGATAGGCGCCACCCCTCCACCAGCAGAATTGCACTTCTCACTTAATAACTCTCTCTGTCTCTCGTCGGTGATGGTGCCCAAAAGCAAGTAGCAGGCAGGTTGATTTGGACGCAGCAGGATCAGCAGCACCTCCTCTCTCTCTCACACGCACACTATTATATATTTCTTTCTCTACGCAATGCGAATCTCACGCACTCTTGATCGTGCATCTAAACGACGATGCAAAGATAATATTACTGGAATAACACATCACATCAACATGCACCGTACACTACATCTACATATACATACACACATACACATATATATATATATATATATTCGCATACGCGAACTGTCAAAAAAAGATATCTTTAACAATTTTTTTTTCTTTCAAATTTATTACCTGTCATCGTCGTTCTTTCGATCTGTCAAATGCACGTGCGACGAAAACTGTCCGAAAACGCACGCACACACACACCAAATCAATCAAACTCGTTAAATTGCCAAAAATCCAATAAGATTCCCATTAACAGTTATGTAATTCCGCCTAAAGCAGACGTAACGTGGGTTGCATAACCACTTAGATTCGCGAACGTAATCAAAATTGCCTACAACAAAATACAAAGACTGCTTGTTGTAGAAATTATAATTACGTTCATTAGCAAAAATGTGGTGTTAATTGTTAATTTAACGTGTGTGTGTAAGTGGCAAAAAAAAAAAATTTAGTTTGCATCGGTTGGTAACGTTTTCAATTGTTTAAAAATATGAATAACGGCCGCATGCGTCAGATTTGAGCGGCGTTTTTGTGTTTGTGCTCGTGTTGGTGTTGGTGTTTGTGTATATGTTTCTTTTCGTTTCACATGATTTGTTGTTGTTGTTGTCTGTTCGCGTCGTTCGTTAATCAACAATTACAATTAGTGCAGGATGAGCAGACTGCAGCAGTCGCTCGAGTCGGGCATGAAGAATGAATCGAAACACTACAACATGAAGCATTTCATCGACGCCGTGAACGAGTACATAAAGACGAGAACGGAGGACAGCGCCAACTTGATCAACAGGCATCTGCAGGTGAGTTGGATGTGATGTGTGCACGAGTAATGTGATTTGTTAATAGTCCTCCAATTGCAGCTTCTCAGTGTTGTCATCGATATTTCTGTGTTCGATCCGAACACCAGCATAGTGTGTGAATTCTTTGTGAGTCTGCACGAGTTGCTCAATATACTGGAACCTAGGTCGACGATAGCTTGGTGCTGCGTGAACGTGCTGGCAGTGGCATGCAGAAACTCGGCTGCCCGACATGCACTCATACACACCTACCAATTCATCCCAGCACTCTCGAGGCTGCTTGGAGATCATCTCATGAACAATAAGCGAACTCAGTTGCTTCTAGTTATGCAGGTAAAATATAAATTAAATTTCAAATTTGAAAGTTTTACATGGTGATGTATGTGTGAAGGATCTGTCGTGCGGAATCAAGATCTCGTGGATGATTCCGCATCTGCCGCATCTGATGACGGTGTTGACCCGCTGGGTGGCGAATGAAACCGAAGATGAGCAGGTCATCAGCTTGTCGCTGGGTGTTCTCGTCAATCTGTGCTACAAGAATCTCCCCGCGATTTACACGCTCACTCGCTGCATGGACATAAAGAAGTTTCTGAGGGTGTGCAATCGGCTGGAGGTAATTGGATGAGTTTCGTCTGTTGTTGTACTCTTATAGAGGAATAAGGTTTCAGGGCGCGATGTACAAGATCAACGTCTGCAAGCTGATGATCATACTGGACAGATCGGATATTTACGAGCCGGTGCCCGAAGAGACCTTCGTCAAGTTGATCTCCGCTACGTTTCAATCGGTCTTGGACACGCTCAGAGTGCAGGACGCTATTCTCATGCGGAGCATCGTCGAATTCTTCTTGGACGTTAAGCAGCAGAACAACGGATCCGATTCGAATATTTTGAATATCTTTACAAATATTTACACGAATTACAAATCGGACGTCGAACTGATTCTGGAGGTAATCATTTCAAGTGATTGTTACAAAACGTGCATTTATACTGTTTGCAGGCTGTAGAGAACAACAATAAGGGAGATGCAGGAAATCAATTGGATCCGGAATGCATGTCGATCGTGTTCAGGTTCGTGCATTCGCTCATCGAGTTGAAATTACCGAATCTGGTGCCGCTCTACGCGAGGATGGTTTACGTCGCTTTGCGTTGGGTGGAAACGGAGGTCGTCTCCTACGAGGCGCTGAGGATAGTGCGCACGGTCGCGACCAGCAGCAAACTGGAGGACATGCAGCTGTTCGAGCCGCTGATGAAGGCTCTGCCAGTTTTCATGATCGATCTGCAGCACATCGACGAAGATACCATCATGAACATCGAGCACTGTCGTCGGTTGAGTTCCGTTATGGAGCTGTTCACCGCCCTCCTCAAGGTGGAGCACACGAAGCAGACGGTCGTCGACACGTTGAACGAGGATCTCGTTTGTAAGATCTTCGTGCCGTTAATTGGATCCTCTCCGAGGCTGCCGTCCGCCAACAATTGCACGCCCGAAGCGATCACCCTGTACATACACACGTTTGCGCTCATCAACGAAATCGCTTGCATCAAATCGGAATGGGTGACGCCGCTGCAGGAACTCCTCCAATACAGGTGATAATTAAGGTCGATCGATTCGTGGAGTTGCTGATTATAGTTTCGTTTCAGGCAGATCCACATGGTTATAGCTGAAGCGCTCTTCAAAGGCAACGAGGATATTAAGGCGTTGATCCTCACGCTCGCCGGATTCCCGCTGTTCCCGCACAGGCAGGTGGCGATCGCGCTCCAGGAACTTCAGCCGCTGATGAAGGCCGACGTCCAGAAGACCACGTCCACAAACGATATGATGTCGTATCCGATCACATCGGTCGCGCAAGCGGAGAAACTTGATCGAACAATCGACTTGCTGAAGGTGCGTGTCTCTGTTTCATCGTAATGCTGATGTTTTAATTGTGTGTGTGTTTGCATGTTTGCAGGAGGCGTGCGAGAAGAAGCACATCGTAAACATATCGACGTCGCAGGTGATGGAGCTGTACGAGTATAAGCTGGCGTCGATGCAGCACGCCGAGAGGGCGTCCATGGCCTCGGTGGAGGCGGCGTCGAAGCAGTGCATCCATCTGCAGCAGAGGACGGCTCAACTGAGCGCCGAACTGTCGCGGATACGGCAACTGCTTCTGCACACGCAACAAAACAGCGAGGATGCGGCGCGCAAAAACAAAAAGTACGACGAGCACATCAGGGAGTTGAACGATCGGTTGAACGTGATCAAGGGAAAGCACAACGCGACGAAGAGTCAGGTGGAGCAGAGAGATCAGGCGCTCGCAGAAAAAGCGACCGAACTGGAGGAGGTCGGACGAAAGGTGGCGGCGCTGGTGAAGCAGCGAGAGGCGCTCGAGCAGACGAACGCCAAGTTGAACGCCGTCGCCGAGAAGCTGAACGAGAGTCTGAAGCGGCAGGAGGCGCACGCCGAAAAGAAGGAGGAGATTATCAAGAAGGCGAACGCCAGCATCGAACATTACAAGATGGTATTCATCTAGTAGTAGCAATCATTTGCGAGCAGTTCAGTGAGTTTTGTTTGTGTTGCAGGAATCGGTGCAGCTGCAGCGACAACTGAATCAGCTCGACGTGGAGCTGAAGCGGCGCAGCGACGAACTGTCCGCGATCAGCGAGGAACTCCAGCAGAAGACGAAACTCATCAATACGATCACCAAACTCACAACCAGTAAATGATCGAAAGCATTTTGGTTGGGTTGGGTCGGTGGGGGAGGTACTAGGAGGGAGCTGAAAAAGAAAGGGTGATCCTTATTTTGTTGTTTTTTTTTTAATTCTATTTATTATCTCCCCTTTTATTATTAAACTAATTTTTATTAAAAAAAAAAATGTCTAAAGAGAAACAAATGAAATTCAACGTATTTTTATAATAATAATAATAATCGTATCAATTAAGAAGAAAAAAAAACATATTAAAATTAACAAATTCAGTGAAATAATTGAAAAAAATTATATATATATATACACACGCATACAATGAATGAAAGAGAGAGAGAGAGACTTATAGACAATTGCTTTCAAATTCTGTTGTTATTTTCTCCCCTAGTTACCGTTGCTTGGTTTAGAAACAAACAAACAAACGAGAAATGCGTGCAAGAATTGAAACTCTTTTCTTATTTCGTATATAAAGTATTTACAATTATAAATTACGCTAAAACAATAGTAACATTTAAAAAAAAAACGAAAGAAAGAATGTCTTACAACCTAAATTGCCTTAAAAAAAAAGAAAAATAAGAAAGAAAGAATAGAAAGAGGTGGTATTTTCTTCTTTTCTTTTTACATCGAAAAGATGAAGAAATTAATGAAAGTGGTGGGATGGAAAGAAGGAAGGAAATTGATTGATTGATTAGGTGTATGTTTGGTTGTCTTCGTCGTCTCGATGTAAAGTGGTCATGTATTATGCTGCAACAATTTCACTTTCCAACACTTTTATACATATAATCATTATACACATATATTTGTATCCTAATAATTATTTATAATATGAAAATATGTTTGCCATTTCCACTTTCCAATCGGCTCCTTTTAATAATCAATTGTTTGCATCATTCCTCCTCCATCTCACTTAATTATAATTATAATAATAATTGTTATACATGTAAATGTGTGTGTGTGTGTGTGTTTGTATGCGTTTCTGTACATATACATATATATATAGATATATATAAATGATCTGTTGTGTACTTATGTACTATCTCTTCAACGTGGAGAAACCTTTCGTTCCGTCCGGGCCTTTCGGTAACCTTATCACATTTTCAATTTCTGCAGACCTAGGTTTGTTCTGTATGCTTGAGACTCGACTACAGAAGAAGAAGAAGCATTAGTTTCCATTTCGCATGTTTCACCTTATTGCTATAATAATAATTGCAAATTCACCTCTCTTCAGATTTAGTTTCGCCGCTATGCGTGGCCCCCAGTATTCTTAGCCTCGCCTCCGCGTACTCCTGCTCCCTTTGCTTCAGTGTCTTTTTCGGCTGATACACTTTGTTATCATTCTGGCTACTGTTCTCTTTCGTAGGTCGCCTCAAGATTGTCACTATGGGTTCAGGCGGGGCGTACTGTGACCGGAGGGCATCGTCTCCTGTAAGTATAATATTGATTGGGGACCCATTTGTGCCGTTACAACTAAAACCCAACTGCGGTTACAACTCGGAATATTCTTCACAAGAAAACAAAAGACGAAGCACGCCTTCTACGATGTGAAGTGGAGGCGCGCATCGTCTCTTATTATTCATTAATATATATTAATATATGTATATAATATACTGCATTGTTATACGAATCCTAACCTCCGAGAGAGCATCGACGTAGGCGTCGAGGAGGAGGGCGTCCCGCAACCGGCAGCACTACCACTGCCGCCGCCACCAATCAAACTCCTCGACATCGACGGCATCATCGTCGTCGTCGTACTCGTCGTCATTGACGACGTCCTAGTGCTCGGCAACAGAAGCTTACTAAACTTCCGTTCGACCTGCAGACAAAAAAAGTGTGTCACATTCACACATAACCTGCAAAAATCGGACGTATCGCTGGGAATGGCGGTGACTGCATGCTTCTTTACATCCACCGGACGCAACGAGGGGATGGTGGTGGCGATGTTTGGTTTGATAACCAAACCAACATCCATCGCCGCCACCACGATGGTCGTCGAGAATGATGACACCGCCGCCCCCCTCGTTCACCAACTACATCATCATCTTCATCATCGTAACAAGCAGTCACCGCCACCACCTCGCCTTAATCGTAATCCTTTTTATCATCACTCACGTCCGACTCTTCGATATCCTCCCAATTATCCAGCACCTCTATTTCTTGTTGTTTAGAAGCCATCTCGAAGCCAGAGCGAATTTTGACAAGCACGTCCGAAACATCGGTCGAACCACGATACGAACAAAAAAAAACCTCTGACTTATACGTCAACACCATTGACACGCACTAATGCCAACCCAGCACACAACCGCGACTTTCTCTATCAATTTCGTAACATCAACGTCCCAGAATAATAAAAAAGGAACAACTAAAATCCGCACATTAAACGATTTATTAATCATTAAACCAAAATTATCATCATCATCACATTAGAACCAATATTCCACCGCTTAGAGGGCGCCACTATACGTAAGTTGGCAACGCTCGCAGGCAAGCAACGCTATTTTAAATTGCGTCGCCGGCGAAGAAGCGTCCTTTCCATTATTATTTGTTTTTTTTTCTCCCATTCGCTTCGACCGCAAAAATGAGCTCCGACGACGAGAATAAATCCGGATCAGAAGTGAACAGTGAAAACGAGGAAGAGGAGGATGCTGCAAATTCCATCGACGAAGAAACGACTGCAGAACAGGAGGAGGAATCTGCAGTCACGTGGCAAGATCTGGTAAGTCGAAAAGAAACCACGTGCGAACATAACCTGAACCTCATTTGTTTATTTTACCTAAGCACACTTTTCAATCAAATTATCATTATCAAATGATGTATAACAATAGTAACAATGATTTTCAAACAAAGATGATTATGTATCTTAGTTTCGTCACTACCACTGATTCGTATACGATTCGCGCAAGCCGTTTCGCGCACAATTTTCTGCAAATTTATTAATTTGTATTGATTGTTTTTCAGGGATTAGTCGATACTCTGTGCAAAGCCTGCGAGGAGTTGAAATGGAAGGCGCCCTCGAAGATTCAGAGGGAGGCGATCCCGCTTGCGTTGGAGGGCAAAGACATCATCGGTTTAGCCGAGACGGGTTCGGGGAAAACGGCGGCTTTCGCTTTGCCCATTCTGCAAGCCTTATTGGAATGTCCGCAAAGGTACTTTGCTTTAGTTCTGACACCCACGAGGGAATTGGCTTTCCAGATCTCCGAACAATTCGAGGCTCTTGGTGAGTGGATCTTGATTCCGATTATTACAATTTTTTTTGCACTTTTCTCTAAATGATGTATAAACCAAGTTACTTTGAATGTACAATGATAAAATACTAAAGTTTCGTCACTACCGCTGATTCGTCCTTGGAATTATAGCGATTATAATCGAATTGAAACAAGATGTGCTAATATTTTTGTTTTTTTTGCAGGATCTGCGATAGGAGTTAAATGCGCCGTCATAGTAGGTGGCATGGATATGATGTCTCAAGCAATTATATTGGCGAAGAAGCCGCACATCATAATAGCCACGCCGGGACGTCTCATCGATCATTTGGAGAACACCAAAGGCTTCAATCTGAGATCACTGAAATTCTTGGTGAGTTTGCTACGATTACTACTGTATATTAGAATATTTAGAATTGTCAATGATGCATAACAAAGGAAATGATTTAATTATGATTATAATTACAAGTTTCGTCACTACCACTGAGATATAACAATTGATTCATTTAGTATATTTCGTTATTGTTGCTTCAATGTTGTGTAATTGTTTATTTTTGTTATTTAGGTGATGGACGAGGCGGACAGAATTCTGAATATGGACTTTGAGGTTGAAGTGGATAAATGCTTGAAAGTTATTCCGAGGGACAGACGTACGTTCCTGTTTTCTGCGACGATGACCAAGAAGGTTAACAAATTGCAGAGGGCTTGTCTGAAGGAGCCGGTCAGGGTGGAGGTGTCCACCAAGTATCAAACGGTGGAGAAGCTGCTGCAGTACTACGTCTTTATACCGGTGAAATTTAAGGTGCGTTCCTATCGATTTGCGTTTGATTGAATGTATTGTAATAATATAACGAATCGTTTTTTTGTGCAGGACGTGTACTTGGTGCATCTGCTGAACGAGATGGCCGGCAACAGTTTCATCATCTTCTGCGGCACCTGCAACAACACGATCCGCGCAGCGCTGATGCTGCGGAACCTGGGATTCACCGCTGTCCCGCTGCACGGACAGATGTCGCAGAACAAGAGGTTGGCCGCGCTGACCAAGTTCAAGGCGAAGAATCGCTCAATCCTGATATGCACGGATGTGGCGAGCAGAGGCTTGGACATCCCGCACGTGGACGTCGTCATCAACTTTGACATTCCCACGCACAGCAAGGATTACATCCACAGGGTGGGTCGCACCGCCAGGGCCGGACGATCCGGCAAGGCGATCACCTTCGTCACTCAGTACGACGTCGAGCTGTACCAGAGGATAGAGGAGTTGATCGGGAAGAAGCTGCCGCTGTACAAGACGGAGGAGGATGAGGTGATGGTGCTGCAGGAGCGAGTTGCCGAGTCCAATAGGTTAGCGCGCGTCGATCTGAAAGATATCGTCGAGAAGAAGGGCGTGAATAAGCGCAAGGGTATCGACGATGATCAGGACGACATGGAGATGTCGTCCGGCGTTCGGAAACGACTGAAAGGCAAAGGCGGCGGTGGTGGAGGAGGCAAGAAGAAAGGTGGAAATAATAAGAGAAGGTAAATGCAGTTTTACGTTTACTGAATAAACACGGCTGTGAGCGTGCGTTGTGATTACAACATCCAATGCACTTCTTTTTAAATTAAAATTAAAAACGCAAAAAAAATACAAATAAACACATGAAATAGGAGAAGAAAAACTTTTACCTTGCCAATAATAACAATATCCTAAAAGGGAATTAATACATTTCAATGTATCAATGACCGACCATGAATCCTACTAAATCCTCTCTTTGCAAATGTGCAAATACACAAGGTGAAAGTTTCACTTAAAACGAAAAGAACCAACATCCTTTAGTTACTTGTTGAATATCGTGTTTAATGTATCAAATACTTTTCACGATATTCGACAAACATTTACACGATATTTTAATTGAAGATGCGTAATTAATAGTAGGAATGATTATTACAAGTTATC